GTAAACCATCCCTCTCAAAGGGCTGCCCAGCTGCATCTTGGATGCCCCCCCCCCGTGTGGGGCAGCCCACAACCTCCCGGGTAATCGGTTCCATTGTCCTTCAGCTCTAACAGTCCAGAAACTCTTCCTGTTCAGCTGGAACCTGGCTTCCTGTAACTTGAGCCTATCATGCTGCATCCTGCACTGGGGATGATTCAGAAGAGATCCTGCCCCCCCCCCCCCCCCCGCTCCACCCTCGTGTGGCAGCGTTTCAGCTCTTTGAAAAGCGCCATCCTATCTCCCTGCAATCTTTTCTTTCGAGGCTGAGCCTGAGCCGGCCCGTTCACCCCGTCCCTCCTCACAGGACTCTGATTCCAGCTGTCGGATCATCCTCGTTGCCCCCCCGACCCAGTTCCAGTTTGCTTGCCTGCATCCTTTTTGAAGCGTGGTGCCCAGGACTGGACACAGGACTGCAGATGGAGCCCCCCCCCGCCCAGGGCTGGACAAGGGGAACTAGCTCTTCACATGTTTTGGAAGTGATATTCTGTTAATGCAGCCCAAAAGAGCATCTGCGCTTCTTGCAGCCGCACTGTGGACTTGCATTCAGCTTGTGATCTGCACTGTTTCCAGGATCCTTCCCACTGGCAGCACTGCTGAGCTGAGGATTCCCCGTCGGCTAACGGTTCACTGGGTGCCCTTCTCCTAGTGCAGAGCGCGGCACTGGCCCCTCCTGAATCTCTTTCTGGTTTTGTCAGGCCATGTTCCAGCGTATCAAGATCACCTTGAATCTTGTTTCTGTCCTGCGTATTAGCTGTCGCACCAGTTTGAGGGAGAGTTTGCTTTGGACAGCCTGAGCATTCAGCCGCGGCCAGGAATCGTTGGGTCCCTCTGAGCATGGGCAGAGTGCCCCTCCACTCAGCACTGGTCAGGCCTGACCTGGAGTCCTGGGCCAGTCCTGGGCACCACAGTTGAAGAAAGATGCAGACAAGGGGGGGGGGGCTCAGAGGAGGGCAGGAAGGTCGATTCGGGGCTGGAGACGGAGCCCTGCGAGGCGAGGTGGAGGAGCTGGGCGTGTGCAGTCAGGGTCGCCCTCTGCGAGCACCTGGCAGGCATGGTGCTCCTCCCGGGCCTCTCCCCTCCGCAGTGGCACCTGGCAGTCCCGAATTTCCATTGGTGCGTAGAAAGGACACTTGGAGTGGCAGGGAAAGCCGAAGTCCTCTGGAACTGCAGCCGCTGCGTGGGTGAGACCAGCCCAGCCACCCGCAGGTCTAATGGCAGCACGCCCCCTCCCCACCTGCCAGGTAGAGACCCAAAGCATCTACACGCTTTCAGAACACATACAGAGCGTTTTCTGAGTCACATGTACTTACAAGCAGAGTCTGACCAAATAAGGGGAACACAGTCGAAAGAAGGTGAGAGGTCTGCCGAGAAAACTTGGTACAATTGCTCTGATCACATTACAGGGGACGGGCAGGAGGATTCAGGAAGGCCGGGGTTACCGGAAGTCTTGGCCGTGAGCTTGATCGTGCAAGTCAGCGTGATTGCAATGCTGCTAAAAACTGCTCTGGCCGCCCTGTCGGTTTTGCTGCTGTTTGCACAAGAGCAGACACTTGCAGGCAGGCGCCTAATGGAACAGCAGTGATAAACAGCAACCTAGGTTGGAATTCTCCTCCTCTCGGAAAAAGGGGTGCAGGTTTGAGTTTATAACACAAAGATGCAGATAAGCAGCCTTTTTCTATAAGGATCTGTCTGAAATTTCCCAACATACCCGATGTGTAGGGAACGTAGGACGCACCTCAGGGGTGCCCCGATGCGTGTAAGCCCCACGCTCAGAGGCTTAGGGCGACTTGGCGTGGGGGGAGGCGCAGTGAGGCGAGGCGCCGTCCCCCGGCACCTCCTGCTCCCACTTCACGCCGCATCCTGGCCCACCCCTCTGGCAAGGAAGGGGATGCCCCAAAGTGGGGGGGGGGGCTGCAGAGCACTGAGCATCACTTGGCCGGGCCTCCTCCCAGCCCGGCCCTGTCGGCCTCTCCCTGCAGCCCCTTTCCTGACCTCACGGAGGCGGCTGGGCAGGTCTAGCTGGACCGGCTGCGGAGGGGCAGGCTGGCGGGGGGGGGGGGGGGGGGGGCCCCAGGGGGGGGGGGGGGCTCAGTGGCCAGGCTCGCATCTGGAGTCAGAGTGACCCATGACACCCTCAACTCGGTCGTGGTTATGGGCTGGCAAGCCACTTATAACTCTGGGTGCCCCACTGACGGGAGCCCCCCCCACGCCCGTCCCTGGCAGCTCCGCACAGCTCCTGCCACCTCCCGCTGGGGCGCCCGTGATGGAGTCGGTCCAGCTTGCAGCCGCACTTCCCTCCTTCTGCCTTCGACAGTCCCTGCCTTGCCGCCTTCTCCGCGGAGAACCCCGGCCCTTCGCAGGACGTGCCCAAAGCAGGACGGCCTCCGGCCAGCTACTCCGGCCCCTGGGGGAAGCTTCTGGCTCGGTCTGCCCCTGAACCCAGTTTCATTCCCCCCAAGGAAGCCCCAGATAAGGCAGGTTTCTGCATAAATTTAAAAGGAACCCTCACTTCCAGGGGTTGCCAAGCTGCCACGTGTTTGCTGGAGCTCTAGAAGGGGTTCATTTCTGGGTTTGGAAAAGAGAGCGAATTAGGTTTTTTCCTAGGGCTGAGCTGGCAGGAGCGGCCCTGGGTCAGGAGGACCAGAAATGCCGGAGCAGCAGCCTGGAGAGGGGTGCCGGGAGGACTGTCCTGCCCAGCAATATTTTTCCTGGAGGATCCCTGTGAATAAAAGGTCTCGGGAGGTAAAGCCACCCCCCCCCCATCCACTAGACAAAGAGGCACCCAAACAAATCATTTTGGAGCCCCACCTGCAGGGGCGTGGGGGGGGGGGAGCAGCCTCGGGAAGAAAGCCAGTCTTGCCAAAAGGGGGCGGAGGCCTCCACCCACCCCTCGGGCCGACCGGACGCGCAACTAATGGGGCACCCGCGGCCTGCCTGGCTGGGTGGGGTGCTGGGTGGAGGAGGCAGCGGCCGCTTGGGGCCAGTCCAAGAACGGACTGGCCTGAGGAGGTCCAGGGCGTGGGGTCCAAGTGCAGCGGCCCTGCGGGGTTTATGGCAGGGCGGGTCTGCTGGCTGGGACTTCGGAAGCTGCCTCGCGTATTTTCCGGCGAAAGCCCCTGCATCGCTCGGTGCAGCTGCTGAGCTCAGCAGCGAAAAGGGGGAAAGGCTGCTGAAACACACAGCCAGTGGGGCAGGCGGTTATTGAGCCTTCTGTGCGTGCGTGCGTGCGTGCGTGCGTGCGAGCGAGCGAGCGAGCGAGCGAGAGAGAGAGAGAGAGAGGAGCGTCCAGACCTACTTGAAGAATGGCCAGGTGGCGGGCCCTGGGTGCTTTCGCGTTGCCCACCTGGCCCCATTCTGCAGCGTCCTTCTGCGCAAGGGAAACCCGCGCTGTCCCCAAATAGCCCGGGCACACGGGAGCCCGGCCACTGCCTCTCCGGGCTGGAGCAAGTCCTCGCCGGTGGTCCATCGTCGCCGCTCTCTGGGGCGGCGCTCATCTGAGATGAAGCACCGAACCAGGAGGTCCCGAGGCGCGGCGATTCCCCGTCGGAGCAGCTGCAGGAGGAGAGAAGCGTCTGGAGGGGTGGCCAGGGAGGTAGTTCCCCGGCCTGGCGCAGGGGCGGGGGGACGCACAGGCCCCCCGCCCCTTGGCCAGAGAGCCCCCGTGAAGCAGGCCCCGTCCCCCCGCAACACACACACGCAACACGGCAGCCTGGAGGTGTGGAGGGGCCGAGCTCGCTTGAGGGCGCTTCTTCACGGAGATCGGCGCCTGCCGCCGCGGAGACGCGCCCTGGGAGCAACAGCGCCGGTTTCCGGGTGTCCGCGGGCTGGCGGGGGCCAAACTGCCTGCCGACCCTCCGGTGCGGACGCCGCGCAGCGCTTTCAAAAGTCCCTCTTCGAGCTGAGGGGGAAGCCCGTGCTGCGCCTCTGGGGCAGGGAGGCGCAAAAGTCCTCTCTCGGGGGCGCGGGAGGGCTGGGGGGTGGCTGCCCCAGCCGCGTTGGGGTCGCGGCGCTCCTGCGCGTGCTCCTGCATCCGCGATCCGCGCAACCGGCAGGGACTGCGCGCGGAGTGTGCGCAGCGCGAGATGCGGCGGCGGGGAGGTGCCGACGTCTCCGGCGAGCGAACGGCCCGCGGGCTGGCGCTGCGCCCCCCCCCCCCCCCCCCCCCGGCTTGGGCGCCGGGATCGGCAGCGCTGCCACGCTCCGCCTGGTCCAGAGCGGCCGCGCCGGGAGGGCCCCTTCGCGCGCTGCTCAGTGTCGGCCGCTGCGGCCAAAGGGCTCCGGGGCTCCGCGGCTGCGTGTCAAGCTGCCTTCCGTCAGCGTGATTTATCTGCCTAACGGACGCAGTAGCTCGTTTCTGGTCTTCGGGTGCGAGCGCAACGTGCCGCCCCGGGGCAGGGAGCTTTGGCCACAGAGACCGGGCAGGCTCCGGGAGTCATTCACAGGGCAAAGATAATCCAGGCAGCCGCGGGGGCGGGGGGGGGGGGGGGGGGGGCACGAGGCCCGGCGGAAGGCGCTCCGCAGGTCGGACCGGGACTCTCCCCAGACAAGACGTTCCTGCCTCTGCGCTTGGAAAGGCTCCTTCACTTTTTTCTGTTTGATTTGTAAACTGCTCGAGCATTCACAAAATGACATTTAGATCCATAAGAATATAAAAGCATAACAATGCATATTGCAAAACCCTAAATAGAATAAGACCAAAGTAAAAACTAGAGTTAAAAACAATCAGGAAGGCAATGCATTTTTGAAAACTGAACAACTAAAGCCCCTGGGAAAATGGCGAGGCCTTGACTCAGTGCCCAAGAGCTCTCAGGGAGGGCACGTCACACCCGAAGGGGCCCCCACCTTGTGCCCTCCGCAGCAGCTGCCTTGCCTGGGAAGGCGCCTGACCAAGGGCCCCGAGGATGGCTTTGGGGTCTGGTGGGTACATATGGGAAGAGGCAGTCCTGTGGGCGGAAGCAGCCATGGGGTTTGACCAGACGGAGGACACCGAATGCCTGGAGATTATCTCACCTGACAGACGGTGGCTCTTGACTCAGTGTGCAAAACGGAAGATGGCGGTGTCTGTTCCCACAGCGAAGAGGACTTACCCGGCAGGTGGTCACGGTGGTCCGGCCTTGCCAAAAGCCGCTTTCTGGGCTCAGATGAAGGGCTGAGAGCCTTCTGGCTCGGCCTCGCAGGTTCTTGGGAGACATGCCTGCTGGCTACCAGAGTGCCGGCCCTGCTGCTCTGGGCACAGAAAGGGCCGGCTCTGGCCCAGCGGCCAGGACCCAACCAGGGATGCCGGAGCAGCCTGCAAGGAGCGCTTCTCCAGACCTCAGGAGCCCCCTGCCGCTGACCTGCCCCCGGCCCCGGAGACCTCCGTCTTCCACTTTTCCAGCCACCAGTCCGAGAAGTGCCTGCTGCGGCTTCCTGCAGGCCGTCTCCAGCTTGGCCAGCCAAGTGGGAAGTCAGCAGAAGCGACCCCTCCTTACTCTGCCTCACTCACGGCTCGTCGTTATGGAACTGCTTCACATGAGTACATATATACAGAGAGAAGGCATTGAAATCTACGCGCACCTGCATTTTATTTATTTATTTATTAAAACATTTCTATGCTGCCCCTTGCCAAAGCCTCATGCAGGAGGTAGTGGGCAAGTCCGTTCAGCTCTGGGTCTCGCACACGGGCTCTGCTGTGGTGCCAAGCAAGGGGTGCTGCAGGCCCATGCGGCGCCCCCCACACAGGGCCCCCAGTCTCGGTGGGGGCAGCCCTCTGCGGTGGCACATCTGCTCAAGGCCTCTGCTGCCCAGATTTAGGACATGGGTCTCCAGCAGAAACAATTCAGAGGCCCTTGGGAAGTGGACCTGACTTTTCTTCCATATTGCTTTTTTTCTGGTGAGGAAAAAGCTGGAAAAAGTGCTGAGAAAACATGGGGGCGGGTGGGGGGGGATTGAAGTAGCAGGTGGCCCCATCCAGAAACCCCACAGCCTTCTGCACACGAGGCAAGGCGATCACACAGCAATGGCCTCGTTTGGAAGCGTCCCGTGGGCAGGAGGGCAGGTCCCGGCAGCGCGTCCAAGCCCTCCCTGGAGGGGGTACGGGGGCCAAGGCACGTTCCTCGCAGCCTGGCACAAAGGGACAAAGCTCCTGTGCCCACAGCGTTCGCACTGGAAGCCCCCCTGGGAAAAGGCCCACCTGGAAGGGCACTCGAGGGGTATGTTTCCCAGCCGGCCAGCAAGCAGGGCCCCCGCAGAGCTCACCCAGGAGCCCCGGGACGGGGGCCTCGGGGCTGGAAGGGGGGCGCCCTAACGGGCCTCTGCTGCCGGACTGGGTGAGCTGGGCTTTCCCGAGGCTCACGGGCTGCGTGGGCTTGTGCACAGGGCTTTCATCACGGCGTTGGGTGGGGGAGCAGAGCAGTTGTGCACAAGGACACATCTGCAGGCAGGAGCAGTGTTCTCGGCCCCCCCTCAAAGAGACAGCAAGTCCACCGACGGGGAGGTGGGGGAACGGGGAAGCCCAGCGCAGGGCGAGAGACGGGCGGCTGCGGCCGGAGGCAGGAAGCCCCGTGACCGCGGCAGCGAGGCGGGCGGCAAGCGCGGCGGCCACGTGCGGGCCTTGCCTGGCAGCCGAGGCGCGGCGAGCCCCCCCGCCGCGGCCTTGTCAGCGCTGCGCCCGGCCCGCCCCCCCCCCCCCCCCGCCCGCCAATCTGCCGCAGTGGAAACTGGAGCGAGAGCGGCGGATTATGCAACGCGCCTCGGCCGCCAAGCCTCGGCTGCTGCGTAACTAGGGCACCGCGAGGGCTCGGCCGGGCTCGGCTCGGAGGAGCGCGCGGGGGAGGGGCGGCCGCATCCTGCCCAGTCCGGCGGCTCGGGAGGGGCCAGCGGGGGGGCGGCTTAAACAGGTCGATGCGCGGGAAGAGCGCGCTGCCAGTGGCCGACGAAGCTCCGCCGAGAACCCGAGCCCGCGTGCCCTGGAGCGAGGAGCTCCTGCTCCAGGGACGACCGTGCCCTCCAGAGTCGAGGATGCGCCCCAGCTGCGTGTGCTCTTGGATGTGGTGCTCCTTTCGTCACGGCCTGCGGCCCGTGCAATAACCCGGGATGATGAAATCCCGGGAACAGGAGCGGCGGGGCAGGAGGGCGGCTCTCGCAGCGGCTTGGCGCTCCGGCGATTTGCACGCGCGAGGCTGGCCCCGAGGGAGGAGAGAGCTCCGCGTTCCAGGACGTGCCGGGCTGTTGAGAGCAATTCTTCGCCGGCACCCCTCTTCCAGGGGGTGGGGAAAGGCGTGAGCAGCGGGCGCTGTGGGGGACCGTGTGGGTCGCGCTCCCGCCTGAGTCGGAGCCCCGGGCCACGATCCTGCACCCCCAGGGGAATGGCGGGGATGAAGCCCGAGAGATGGGACCGCCTCGCTCTGAACCAGAGCTGCTGCTTCGGAGCATCCGGCTCGGGGCGCGCAAGTGCCGCTCCCCCGTTGGTGGCGAGGACTGCCTGCTTCCAGGCGGTCCGATTCGGCTGGAGGGAAGGGCGTGTGGCGCCTCCCAGGAGGACCCTCTGCCCCACAGTGGGCATCCCTCTTCCTCCAGGCCGCCCCGTGGCTGAAGGAGCCGAGGGCTGCCCCGCACTCAGAGACGGGCAGCCAGAGATGTGCAGGCACAGCGGCCAAGAGGGGCCCTTGGCTCACACTGCGCTGTGCAGTTTCTGGGCTGGGGGAGCAGCCCTTCCAGTCTCACCCCACTGGGATGGACCTCCTGGATCCTCCAGAGCATGTTGGGGAGGGCTGGGGGGGGTGGTCCAATGGTGCTGAAGCTGAGAGAGGGGCTCTCCTGCACGGAGAGCTCCCAGGGGTGCGAGGGCAGCCCCAGAGGCATGGGACCCTCCCCGGCTGCGGCCATCCGAGGGCCGCCTGGAGCTCGGCGGAGCCCTGCTGCCAAGTGAGGGGAAGGCGCCCCACGGCTGCTGCAGGAGCCCCCATTCCCAGCAAAGCTCATGCTTGGCCGGCTCAAGCTCGGCACAGCACCCACATCGTGGCCCCGATGCCCCCCAGCGGGACGGTCCTTTGGCCGCCGAGTTTGCCAGCATCATCAGGGAAGCATGTCCTCTGCTGGGCCCCGGCGGTCTTTGGAGGAAGGTCCTGTCTGGCCGGGACGCTCAGAGCTGCTTCCCGGACAGGATGCGGCACCCCCCCCCACGACCTTCTGGCTCCCTGGAAAAGCATCCGGCAATAGAGCTGCTTCCGGCCAGGCTGCCAGCTCCCCCGCGGCCCAGAGGAGCCTCCGTTGCGGCGCAGCCGGGTGGCTCACTGTGGGTTGCAGTGGGCGGAGGGGGGCAGCTGAGGGAGCCCACCAGCCCGGCTGGCGCTGCTGAACTGGGGCAAGACTGGAGCCGGGTCCATGCACCGGCACAGCTGGGCAGGGCAAGGGCCCCATCCAGCCCCGAAGGCACCCGAGGGGACTGCAGGCAGGGAGCCCCCAGCCGTGGCAGCAGGGGCCGGCGTGCTCTCACCATGCCCCTCACCGGGCTCTAGGAGGAACAAGTAGCCGGGACGCATCGCCCCCCCTTGGCACAAAAAGGGGGAGGGGAAGTGAGGGGATCCAGTTCTGCCGAGTTCACTATATATTCTAGCACAGAATGTTTCAAATGAGTTCTCTGCATGTTCACCTCCTAGCAAGCCCTTCAGGCCCGGGGGCGGGGGCGGGGGGGGATAAAAATTCAACACATAAGTAAATGGAAATAATGGAAGCCAACATACTGCTAGACTAAACCGATTCCACGTTTTGACCGGTGGACAGTGGGAACGCTGTGGACAGCCTGTCCTGCCTTCAGAGAAGCTTTTGAGAAAGTGCCCCCGGATGTCTTGATTAGCAAACGAACTCCAAGGGGGCCGGTGGAGCCGCGACCAGGTGCAGCCACGGCTGGCTGCAGAACGGGACTCGGAGAGAGCTCCTCGGGGCGCCTTCTCAGATGGGGGGGAAGCAGCGAGGGGGGGACCCACAGGGCTCAGTCCGGGGCTCATTCATCATGTGGAGGAGGAAGTGCAGGAAACAATTGTCAGATTTGCAATGACACAAAACAGGGTGGGAGTCTTGTGGCTAATGAGGTGGACCACAAGTCTAATAAATTAGTAAACAGCTAACACCTAAAGACAGAGACACGGGGCAAGGCAATCTTGCTGGGCTGGACTGCTGGGCTGACAAAAGCCGAACGAGGTTCAGCAGGGACCGAGGCCAATTCTGCCCCTGGGGGCGGAAGCAACTGCATCTGCACCAGACAGAGAATACTTGGCTGAACAATGCCGTAAGCGACAAGGGTCTTGGGATTGTTGCAGAGCGCAACCTGATTCTGAGTCAACAATGCAATGTGGCTGCAAAAATAGCAGATGCTATTTTGGGCTGCATTAACAGAAATCTCGCTTCCCAGGCATGTGAAGTGGCAGTTCCCGGAGTCAGGCCTGGGTCGGCCTCCTCTGCCGTGCTGTGTCCACTTCGCACCGCAGAGATCAATGCAGGCCAGCCGGGGAGGGTCCAGAGGAGGGTGACGAGGATGATGCGGGACTGGAAAGAAAGCCCTTTGAGGGGAGACTGAGAGAGCGGGGCACGTGCAGCCTCCAGAAGGAAACAGCTCTCTAGAAGTGCGACACAACAGCTCTCTAGAAGTGCTGGAAGGCTGTCACAAAGAGGAAGGGCAGGACCCTGCCTCGCTCACCCCAGAGCACAGGACACGGCTCAAGTGACAGGAAGCCAGATTCCAGCTGGACATCAGGAAAAACGTCCTGTGACTGTTTGAGCAATACGACCATGGGACCAGTGACGGGGGGGGGGTGCGGCTCCCTCACACTGGGGGCATTCGAGGTGCAGCTGGACAGCCCCCTGAGAGGATGCTTTGACCTGGGGCCCTGCGCTGAGCAGGGGGTTGGACCCCATGGCCCTCCCAACTCTACTAAGTCCCCAATTCCAAGGCATCGCCGCAGGCGGCCACAGGAGCACCGGGGGAAGGCAGAGGCTCTGCTGCGGAGGCGGCGGGTTGAGCGTCTGCTTCCGCTCTTCGTCCTCCTGGTTTCGGGGCTGACAGAAAGGCTGCCAGGGTGTCTGCCTAGCAAAGGGGGAGGGATGGGCAGAGTTGGGCCACAGCGCTGGGCAAGCGCCTGCCATCCGGGACGCAGGTCTGATGCGCCAGCGGGGAAACGCAGGTGCAGAAGGGCCAGGCGGTCGGGCACTCAAGGCGGAAAACACTGCTCAGCCAAAACAACAAGATCGCCTCTGATTTCAGGCTCTGCAAACGGCATCCGGACAGTTCACACCTCCGGGCCTCTGGGATTCATCCTGCAGGCGGGGGTTGGAAACTCTGGTTCTTTCCGTGGGGGGGGGGCTGCTCCTCGCCTGCATCCTCCACAGCTGCAGCCTTCCTGTTTTGAGCAAAAGGCAGCGCTTCTGGACAGGAAGAACTGGCCGGCTGTGGAAAAAGTTGCTCTGGAAATCTTGTGCCCTGGAAGAGTGGAGGGAGACGGGGACGGCTGGGGCACGGGTGAAGTGGCCAGACACCCAGGTGACCTGACTACAGCGCCACGGGGGCACCTGGCCATCAAGCCCCCTCCCTGAACGCTCCCCTCCTCCCCGAGGCGCTCCTCTCGTCACGCGGCCTTCGCCGGCCTGGCCCCACGCCGGAGGAGTGGGCACACAGCAGGGCCCACTCCCAGCAGGGCCCCGTGGCCCACTCGCCAGCCGCCGGGGCTGTGCGCCCACCCCTCTCTCTGGCCAGAGGGGAGTGCGCAGTGGTGCGGGAACGTGGGCCAGTGCGGTCCTATGCCCAGGCGGCGGCCCAAAAAACTTGGAGGGATGCAGGCACTAGCCCGTGGCCTTCAAGGCGCTGCGAGGCTCCCGGGAAGCACGATGGGGCCTGGAAGACCCTTGGGGGCAACTCGTTCCAGAGGGGTGGGGCCACTGCAGAAAAGGCCTGGCATGCTGCACCGAGCTGTGACCGGCACAGCCGGCTGGTTCAGAGGGAGGCTGCAGGGCCCGTGGGCTCAGTGGCCCAGTCAGGGCTCCCCCCAGGCCCAGGCCCAGGCCCAGCCCCAGCACCGTGGGCCTGGCCATCCCCAAAGGCAGGCATCGTGGCCTGGCAGCAACTCCCCGTCCCGGTCACCCTCCTCCTGTGGCTGCTGCCCCCCCCCGGGGGCTTGGCGGTCCTCCTGCCCATCCTCCCTCGCCTGCCAGGGCCAGCACCTGTGGGGCGCAGAGGAGGAGGGGCAGGGAGCTTTGGCAAGCGGGGGCTGGCGGGACCGGCCTCACTGCCCCCAGCCCTGCCAGCCTCCCTCCTGGCTCGAGAGGCTGCCTGGAGGGGCAAAGGCTTGCCATGAGCCCGCCAGCTGTGAGGGGAGCTCCCCGTCTGGCCATGAGGGGGTTTGCTGAGGGGGGGGGGGGCGGGGGGGGGGAGCCGCTGGGCAGGTTGGCCGGCTGCCGGCCTCTTCCCAGCCGCCTGCGCCACTCGCTGGAGTCCTCCGTGTGCATGAGGAAGGCGTGTCCCGACTCCGGTGAGGAGGCCGCGACCTGCCAAACCAGAGCCGGCGGAGAAGGCCCGGGCACCTCCCGCCTTTCCCAAGCCCGGGCACGCGGCCTGGGCCGGCGCTCACAGACCGGCTGTGGGTTCTGAAGGAGCCCCTGGCTCCGCGACGCTGCGGATGGCGGCTCTTGGGGCTGCTGTGGGTCGCCAGCTCCGCATGGCCCAGCGAGGAAGCGCCGAGTTCCCTTTGCTCAGCGCTCGGCAAGCCCCCTCTGCAGTCTGCGTCCCGTTCTGGACACCGCAGTTCAGGGAGGATGCAGACAGGCTGGGAAGGGCTCCGAGGAGGGCAAGGGGGACGATCTGGGGACTGGAAGCAAAGCTCTGTGCGGAGAGGGAAGAGCTGGGCATGTGCAGCCTCCAGAAGAGAAGGTGGGGGGGCGGGGAGAGGGGATGGCACTCTTCAAATGCTTGAAAGGCTGCCATGCGGGGGGGGGGCGGGGGGAGGATTTCTTCCTTATCATCCCACAGTGCAGGGCAGAGTGCAGGAATAAAGGCTCCAGTTCCAGGAAGCCAGAATCCAGCCGGCTGCCAGGAAAAATTTCCTGACTGCTAGAGTAGTGGGACAATGGAGCGAACCGCAGGCCTGCAGGTTGCGGCCTCTTCCCTCCCCCCCCCCGCCCCCGGACGCATTCAAGCTGCTGCCGGACAGCCCCGGAGGGGGGGCGGCTTAACTGAGGTTGGGCCTGAAGGCCTCCTGGCCCCTTCCATGGTTCGATTCTGCAGTTCCATGAAGGTGATGCGGCTGCCACACGGGCAAATGCCATTTCAGGCTGCATTACTAGAAGTACCCCTTCCCAGTCAGGCGAAGGGTGAACGCCCCCACACTAGTCAGAGCTCAGGTTAACAAAGACACAGGAAGGCTGGAAAGGGTTCGGGGGAGGGCGGCAAGGACGGTCTGGGGCTGGAAAGAAGACCCGACTGGACAGCCGGGGGGGGGGCTACCTCGCGGGCCTGCGCCTTCCTGGCTCCTTCCAGCTCCGGGTCTGAGAAAACGGCCCAGGAGCA